ATGCTCTTTTCTGTGGTTATGACAATCTATACATAAAATTCTTTTTCCTTATGGCTCTAGGGATTATCTCAAAGGTTTATTCTTAGTTTCATAATGAACAGATTATTCTTTTGGTGCAGAGGATACTTATTTTAAAAGGGTGAGAAAGTCCCAAGGGCTTTAATTATAAATTCTGGATGTCAAAAAGACTTCACAATTGTACTTAAATAGCATTAAATCTTTCAGAAAATACAATAGGCTTTTTGTTTGCTTTTAATACTTGACTAAAGGCAGGTCAACATCTGAACTAAATCAGTAAACAGATAAAGGGTCAAATGATTGTTATAGAAAATTAGCTTCTATTCCTTTTTCTTCAGGGCTGTTATGCCAACTTGATTCATTGGGTATGAATGAGACCTGCTTCATCTGAAAATTTTTAAAAATAGCAATTCATTTTTATGGTTCTTTTGATACTTCTTGAAGGAAGATATTTGTGTTATCCATAGTTATGATTTCCATTTATTATGTTGCTATTACCTTTGCTTCTAAATTAAAATATGAAACAAATTATTTTACTTTTATTGGAATTCATAAAGTTTTCTTTGTTATTTATTTATTTATTTATTTTTTAGAGATAGGGTCTCATTCTTTCTCCCAGGCTGGAGTGCAGTGGTATCATCATAACTCACTGTAGACTCAAACTCCTGGGCTCAAGTGATCTTCCTGTCTCAACCTCCCAAGTAACTAGGACTACAGGTGTGTGCCACCACACTTGGTTAAGTTTTTAATTTTATTTTTTTGGTAGAGATGGGACCTCACTATGTTGACTAGGCTGGTGTCAAACTCCTGGCCACAAGTGATCCAGAACTCATAAAGTTTTTAATAAGCATAAAAGAAAGACATTGTGGCCGGGCTTATGCCTGTAATCCCAGCACTTTGGGAGGCCAAGGTGGGCAGATCACTTGAGGCTAGGAGTTCGAGACCAGCCTGACCAATGTGGTGAAACCCCATCTCTACTAAAAATACAAAAATTAGCTGGGCATTGTGGCCAGCACCTGTAATCCCAGATACTCGGGAGGCTGAGGCAGGGGAATTGCTTGAACCGGGGGACTAGAGGTTACAGTGAGCCAAGCTCATGCCACCACACTCTAGCATGGGCAACAGAATGAGACTCCATCTCAAAAAAAAAAAAAAAAAAAGAAACTGTATATAAACATATTAATTGCGCTCATGATTTAAGTTTACCTACTTCTGGGTTCTGTTTAATGGGAAGTGAAAATCAGTAGTAAACTGTCTAGTTTGGTAATAAACAGTGTATTTAAACTGCTTTGAACATACTGGTAGAGCTCTACGTGAGATATCAATTTGACCACTTACTTTTCAGTAGTTTCATACCATAAGAAACCAAGATTATTTAGTCCTGTCATTTTGAACCTTCCTCCTTTGCCATGCTCAAATCTGTAATTATAAAGCTTATTTTAATTAAATCTATAATTATGAAAGTAATTATAAATGTTGGTATTAGTTTATTTCCTCTCATGATAATTTAACAAGCATTTCTTGTGCCCTTACCAGATGGGACCTTTTTTTTTTAAAGTAGACTTTTTTTAGTGAAGTTTTAGATTCACAGGAACACTGAGTAGAAAATACAGGGAGTTCCCATATATCTCTTGCCTCTATATGTGCACAGCCTCTCCCACTATCAACATCCTTCACCAGAGTGGTACATTGTTACAATCAATGAACCTACACTGGCATATCATTATCACACAAAATGTATAGTTTACACTAGGATTCATTTTTGGTGCTGTTCACCCTATGGGTTTGACAAACATATGATGTGTATCTATCATTATATCATACAGAGTCATTTTTAACTGTCCTAAAAATCCTCTGTGTTTTTCTGTGTATTTATTCCTATCTACCCATAACCCCTGGCAAACACTGTTTTTTTAGTTTTTATAGTTTTGACTTTTTCGGAATGTTATATAGTTGGAATTATACAGTATGTAGCCTTTTCAGATTGGCTTCTTTCACTTAGCAATATGCATTTAAAGCTCCTCTGTGTCTTTTCTTGGCTTTATAGCTGATTTTGTTTTAGTGCTGAATAGTATTCCATTTTTTTGATCTACTGAAGGATGTCTTGGTTGCTTCCAAGTTTTGGCAATTATTATTATTATTTTTTGAGACGGAGTTTCGCTCTTGTTACCCAGGCTGGAGTGCAGTGGCACGATCTCGGCTCACCGCAACCTCCGCCTCCTGGGTTCAGGCAATTCTCCTGCCTCAGCTTTCTGAGTAGCTGGGATTACAGGCACGTGCCACCATGCCCAGCTAATTTTTTGTATTTTTAGTAGAGACGGTGTTTCACCATGTTGACCAGGATGGTCTCGATCTCTTGACCTCGTGATCCACCCGCCTTGGCCTCCCAAAGTGCTGGGAAAGTTTTGGCAATTATTAATAAAGCTGCTGTAACCATTCATGTGTGGGTTTTTGTGTGGACATATGTTTTTAACTCATTTGGATAAATACCTAGGAGCTTGATTGCCAGATCATGTGCTAGAGTATGTTTAGTTTTGTTAGAAACTGAAAAACTGCCTTCCAAAGTGACCAAACCATTTTGCATGCCCACCAGCAAGGAATGAGAGTTCTTGTTGTTCCAGATCTGCACCAGCATTTTATGTTGTGACTGGAGTTTCGCCATTCTAAAAGGAGTGCAGTAGAAGTAGTGGAAGTGATAATAAAGATGAATCACACCTAGAAACTACCTTTAAGGAACATTCTAATAGGCCAGACAAGATGTGCACATTGAAAATAATTATACAGGGTAGAAAGTGGGTAAGTGCTAGCAGAGTGATATTAGATAATGTAAGCATTCAGGGATGGAGAGATTGTAACTGCGAAGTGTCTCATAAGGACGAGCTGGTGATTAAAATGGGTGTAGAAGGGTGAGTTAGATATGGATATTCACTGTTGTTCTGGGTTGAGGTTGGTAGTGAGATGAGCCCTATGGGTAGAGGGAACAGTTTAATCACTGATATGGAAATGCAAAGTGTAGGGCCATACAAATGCAGAGGACTGCTAGGTAGCAGTGATTTTCAGGCATTGAGATAAATGACACAACTAGTTTTGTAGGCATTGTAGGTAAAAGTTCAGATTTGGAATCAGATAGCCTAGGTTAATGGCTGGACATGGTGGCTCACGCCAGTAATCTCAGCACTTTGGAAGGCTGAGGTGGGCAGATCCCTTGAGGTCAGGAGTTCAAGACCAGCCTGACCAACATGGCGAAACCCTGTCTCTACTAAAATATACAAAAATTAGCCCGGCATTGTTGTGCCCGCCTGTAATCCAAGATACTTGGGAGGCTGAGGTTGGATCTGGTAGATGTTGAGGATGGTGAGAATTGTGAAAGATCATCAGATTTGGTTGCTCAGAGGATGGCCTATTAAATACAAGGAATAGATCGAGTGGTTGGTAAAGATAGTGGAATCACCATTTTAACTAAGGATCAAAGATACCTTTTTCAGGGTGCTGCTTGTCTGGAGCCTCCCTCTGACTGTTTTGTGTCAGGACTAGAGTGTGATTTATGAAGAATGTCCTACATTGTATCCTAGCCAGATTCTCTGACTTATTTTCTTTTCCACTTAATATTAAAAAGCTGGAAAAGTAGCTAGAGGGTTATTGCTTCTCATTTTCTCTCAATTCTTCCAGATTAAAAATTGCGTAGGATAAAACTGAATAGACTTTTGTCTTTATACCTAAATGAGCCTGGATATTCAACAGTGATTATGATAAATTGATGTTCTGAAATAAGTTGGCCTTTTGAGAAGATAAAAATGAAATTATAGAACAAATTGGTGTTTTGAGTCTGTTTGATGGCTTTGCTCAACAAAACAAGCAGCTCTGTGTTGGTCTTCCAGTATTACTTTTCAACTCTTTTTTTTTGTTTTTGTTTTTGTTTTTTTTTACATTCAAGTTCTAAAAGTTTCTGTAATTCAAAAACCTAGGAACTATTTGAGATGGTTATTAGTTAAAAGAAAGAGAGAGATGGGGAAGGAATCTGTAGAAACCCAAGGGATAGAGCAGTTATTTAGGGTAGATGCATCTTGTTTGTAGGACAAGAAGCAGGAGGCAGTTGGTAAGTAATTGGAGAAGGGGTGGAAGGGATATAGAAAAATTATAGGGGAAACTAAGGAGGCTTGAATTGAGTTATGGAACAGGAGAGTCTTACTGATACGGATTCTTCCATATAAGTTTATAAATAGTGAGAGGGTCATTTTAAAATTGTTCAGTAACTTTTTGATTTACATATGTAAAATTAAAAGGGCATATGGCATTTATAATTCAAATTATTTTGATTTATAGTTATAAAAAGAGAGTTTAATTTACAGAAAATTTAGTACTATCTAAACATGTCTCAGTGGTTCTCTTAAGAAATTCTTTTAGTCTAAGTTTTGGTGCCAGTTTATCCTTTATTTTTCTTCTAAAGTTCCAACTCTTTTATTTCATGCATTTCTAGAGCTAGGGGAAGTAGTTTAAGCCTTTCCCTACTCATGTTGGAGAAAACTGGAATGGGAATAAAACCTGTTTTTTGTTTGACATAAATTATATAAATATATGATTTTTTATTTCTTTTTAAAATTCTGACTATTGTAGATTCCAGACTTACTCTTTATATTTAAAAAATGTAAACAATATTTTGTATGTTTTTAAAGCAATTGAGGGGACTATAAAAATCAGATCTAATGTAAGTATAGCAAGCACATATCTTAGGTTTTCTGGAGTGATCCTGACATTTAGGTATTTTGTGCGAGTCAGACAGCCTGTCCTTGTATTTGGCTTGGAAAACATGGTTGCCGTAACTAGAGCTAGTCTCTAAAATAGGTAGCTGATTAAAAGGTCACAAATAGAGCTATAAAGAATGACAACCTAACAAACAAGTCACTGTGGTATTTGTTTTTTATTATCTACTCAAGGTTTATATTAAAACAATTTTTCATTTCATTGTTTTTTTTCTGATACAGTTTTCAACTTGACCAACAATGTGGATTTGGATAACACAAAAAAGAAAATGGAGATATATCAAAAGGAAAACAAAGATGTTATTCAGAAAAATAAATTAAAGCTGGTTGGTTGCTAAGTATTTTATTCTTCTTTTGTCTTAGAAACAAATGTTTCCACATGATACTTTAAAAAGGCACCTTCCTTTAAACCAGTTACATTTATTAAAAATTTGGCTGAAATCTAGACCAGAAATATGAATATTTGCTGTATAGGTAATGTATGTAGGCAGGCATACATTACTATAGCAAAATCCACTTTGACAGCATTATGTTAGAGTGTGTTTTCTTAAGGAAATGGATCCATAAGGTAGGTGATTGTTAAAGCTAATTTTGCCTGTATAATTCTCTGATAAGTGAGCATTTGGACAATGGTCACAAAATAATGGAGGCTCATTTTTATCCTTGAACATTAATTTCTCTAAAGGAGAGAGCAAACCCAGACAGACGTTGACCGAGCTCCCAAGAGGGAGATAAAACAAAGACACTATTTATTAGAAACTAAAATGAATTCATGATGAGATCAGAGGAATACATTTGTAAACTAAGCTTAACTTTGGTTTCTCAATCAGTTACCTTTTTTTGTTTTACTGAAATAGTAATATTGCTAGGTATAAATGTGATTTTGATTTGTTTTAGTTGATCTCATGTTGAAGTTTGTTTTGAAAATCTCTCAGGAGTCATTATTATGAAATGTATTAAAATGTATTCTATAAAGAAGAAAGAATCGTATGCATGCCAAGAAGCCATTGTCTAATTTATATACTTTAGCTATAATTTCTATAGTACAGTTTGGCTTTCTAGCTGTAGGGGAAAGTTGAGGTACTTTATCAGGATTTTTTTGAGGTACTTTATCAGGATTTTGTAATAATCAGTGAAAAGAATACAAGTATATTTGGATCACATAGCTTATATTTTCATCTTGTATTTAGAAGAGACTTTCTCCTTATAGTCTTAGAGTGTTTTATTTCAGCACTTTGCAGTACTTTATCAGGAATTTGTAATAATCAGTGAAAAGGATACAAGTAGATTTGGACCACATAGATTATATTTTCATCTTGCATTTAGAAGAGACTTCCTCCTTATAGTCTTATAGTGCATTATTTCAGCACTTCTTTCCTGCTGTAACACTCTTAGTAAACTGATACTACATTTTCATTCCATTCATACCCAGCCTGGCTTTCTTTCTTTCTTTCTTTTTTTTAACATGAAGTCTTGCTCTTGTCACCCAGGCTGGAGTGCAATGGCACGATCTTGGCTCACTGCAACCGCTGTCTCATAGGTTCAAGCAATTCTGCTACCTCAGCTTCCCAAGTAGCTGGGATTACAGGCATCTGCCACCACACCTGGCTAAGTTTTGTATTTTTAGTAGAGACGGAGTTTCACCATGTTGGCCAGGCTGGTCTCGAACACCTTACCTCAGGCGATCTGCCTGCCTCTGCCTCCCAAAGGGGATTACAGGTGTGAGCTACCACACCTGGCCAAAAGTATCTTATTTCTGAGAGCATCAGTATGCCATTAATGTTACTCTGTTTGCCTAGTAACTTTCTCTGGGTACATCAGAAGATACATGCAAAATAAGTATGGGTAGGTAACATGTTTCATTAACCGCAAGTGTTGGGATTACAGATATGAGCCACCACAATCATGAAAGGGCGTTACATTTTATCAAAGCCTTTTCCTGAATGTATTGATATGATTATGATTTTAATTCTTTATTTTGTTAATGTGGTATATTAATTGATTTTGTGGGTTGAATCATCTTTCCATCCCAAGGATAATTCTCACTTGGTTATGTTGTATGATTCTTTTAAAATTCAGTGGATTTAGTCTACAAGTATTTTGTTGAGGTTTTTTGCATTTTTGTTAATCAGGGATATTGGCTCACAGTTTTCTTTTCTTGTGGTATTTTTGTCTGGTTTTAGTATCAGGGTAATAACGATGGCTTCATAAAACAAGTATGGAAGTGTCCACCTTTTCAGTTTTTTAGAAAAGTTTGAGAAGGATTGATGTAAATTCTTCCTGAAATGTTTAGCAGAATTTACCACTACAGGCTTTTCTCTGTTAGGAGGTGTGACTACTGATTCAGTGTCCATACTAGTTCTGTTTTCAGATTTCCTATTTCTTCATAATTTGGTCTTGGTAGGTTGTATATTTCTAGGAATTTGTCTATTTCTTCTAGATTAACTGAATTGTATAATTGTTAGTGTATACATGTTCATATTAGTCTCTTATGATCCTTTTATTTCTGTGGCATCAGATGTAATGTCTCCTCTTTCATTTCTAAATCTGAGTCTTCTCTCTTTTCCATAGTCTTGCGAAGAGTTTGTCAGTTTTATCTTTCCAAAAGACTTAATTTTGTTGATTTTTTCTGTTCTTTTTAATTTTCTATTTCATTTATTTTTGCTTCAATCTTTGTTACTTATTTTAATACTTTGTTCTGCTAACTTTGCGCTCAGTTGTTATTTTTCTAGCTCATTGAGATGTAAAGTCGAGTTGTTATTTGAAATCTTTCTTCTCCTTTAAAGTAGGTGTTTATCACAAGAAACTTTTTTTTTAGTACTGCTTTTTCTGTATCCCTTAAGTTTTGGTATGCTATGTTTTTGTTTGTGTTTGTCCTGGGGTATTTTAAAATTTCCTTTTTGATTTCTTCTTTGACCCAGTGATTATTTGAGTGTATTGTTTAATTTTCACATAAGTGCATTTTTGTGAATTTTCCAGTTTTTCTTCTGCTACTGACTCCTGGTTTTAGTCCATTGTGGTTAGGAAAGATACTTGGTATGATTTCAGTCTTCTTAAATTTGTTAAGACTTGTTTTGTGACCTAACTTGTGATTTATCCTGTAGAAAGTTCTGTGTGTGCTTGGGAAGAATGTGCATTCTGCTGCTGTTTAGCGGTATGTTCTGTATATGTCTGTTAGTTGTTAAAACAGACATCTACAGAACTATAAAGTTGTTTAAGACTCCTGTTTCCTTATTGATCTTCTTTCTGAGAGTTCCATGCAGTGTTGAATGTGAATTAAGTCTCCTCCTGTTATTATATTGCTGTCTATTTCTCCCTTCAGTTGTCAATGTTTGCTTTACATATTTAGTTGTTTATAATTATTATATTTTTCTATATGTTGACCCTTTTATTATTATATAATGTTCTTGTCTCTTTTGACAGTTTTTTAATTAAAGTCTATTTCATCTCTTATTATGTTCTTTGTCTCAGTGAATGGTGCCAGCATTTATCCAGGTGCTCATATTTGGTCAGTCTTTATATTCTGTTGATGATCACTCTTTATCATTTTTTAAGCCTCCTTTCTACTCTAATTAGATTATTACTTTATTTAAGGCTCTTATTTCTTTTTCTTTTTCTTTTTTTTTTTTTTTGGAGACAGAGTCTCACCCTGTTGCCCAGGCTGGCATGCAGTGGCGCAATCTCGACTTGCTGCAACCTCTGCCTCCTGGGTTCAAGCAGTTCTCCTGCTTCAGCCTCCCAAGTAGCTGGGATTACAGTTGCACATCACCATGCCCGGTTAATTTTTTGCATCTTTAGTAGAGACAGAATTCACCATGTTGGCCAGGTTGGTCTCGAACTCCTGACCCTGTGATCCCTCCACCTCAGCCTCCCAGAGTGCTGGGATTACAGGCGTATTCTACCACATAGGGCTCTTATTTCTTATCTGGGTTATTTGAATATTCTTCTAACTAGTCCTGCTATTGTCAGTCTTGAACCCAATTGATCTTTATGTACACCTCACTGCTTCTAGTCATCTTTCTAAAATCATCCCTCAACTTCCCTTAACATGTTCCCAGTGGCCTTAGTATGGCAAAATTCCACTAATATGGTATAACAGAATAGTTGTTCTCTTTAATAGTAACATGTCGACATGAAATAAAATAAATTCTACTTCCTTCAACATGTAATTGCTACGTTATTAAATAATAAGTGACTAGTGTCAATAAAGGAAGTATCAGAGTGTGTTATATGATTGCTCCTGGCTCCTAAATTTATTCCATGCCATATATAAACTTTTGTTTTAGACTCGAGAACAAGAAGAACTGGAAGAAGCTTTAGAAGTGGAACGACAGGAAAATGAACAAAGAAGATTATTTATACAAAAAGAAGAACAACTGCAGCAGATTCTAAAAAGAAAGAATAAGCAGGCTTTTTTAGATGAGCTGGTATGTATTCATACTAATTGTGATTGTAAAAAACATTTTTCAGGATTTACCTTTCCTATTAGGCTGGATGATGGCATTTAAAGGGCATTTCCACAGTGTTTATAATCTGGTTCACCTTTAGTTTTGTTGGTTATGTATTGATACCTGTGTATTTATTGCTGAATAAGAAGTTGCTGTCCACCCCAGCTGAACAATATATTTATTTTATGCTCACAATTTTGTGGGTTAGGAATTAAAGTAGTTATTTTGGGCTTCTCTGCTTCCCTAATGTATTCTGAGGATACCTCTTCATGTGGTTTTGATAGCAATAAGAGGCAGCCAAATGCCTAGGCAGATAAGGACGGGTACCTGGTGAAACCACACGTTTATGTCGAAGACAGTTTAAAACCTGAAACCTAAGCTACAAGTTAAATCTTTGGATCAGATTGAGAAGTTGGCCTTCTATTTGGTGTGCTTTCCTCTGACTGATCCCCACTCTTCACCTATTTTATATATACCTACCCTTTCCTAATTGATTTTCTATACTGTCATGCCCACCTTTGAGTGGTGTCTTCACTTCAACCTTTTTTGCATACTCATAAGCCAATCAGCATGTACCCCCCATTCTGTGCCTATAAAGACCCCAGACTTAGTAAGTAGAGGAAGAGACAACCTGCTTTGGGGAAAACAACCTGCCCTTCCTGTCTCTTCTCCAGCTCCCCTCTCTTCTAAGAGCTGTTTTCATTGCTCAATAAAATTATTGCCTTCACCATCTTTTAACCGTCCCTGTGACCTCATTCTTCTTGGATGCTGGACAAGAGATTGGGACTCACTGAGTGCAGGTACCCACAAAGGCTGTCACACTGGCCCTTTGCCCTTGTTGGTGGAGGGCAGCTGCCCCAGGCAACAAGGCCAGGGGCCAACTGAGCTGCTAACACACTGCCGTCCGCAGACAGTGGAACTAAAGGAGCACTGTAACAACTCCCCTCGGGCTTCGGGGTTGTGGGCACCCTCATCTGGGCCCTGCCATGTTCTCCTTGAGTCAACTACCTGGTCTGGCTGTGGGCCCCACATGGAGTTTGCTTCTGTGTCCATGCCTGGAGTGGATGGCTGGGTCCTGCACTTGCTTACTTGTGCCTGGTCTGACTGTGGGCCCTACACAAAGCTTGTTCCTGTGTTGGTGATTGGAGCAGCCAGCTAGATCTGCACTCACCCACGTGCTCACTCCCACAAAAGGTTGAGTGCAGTGGGCCAAATAGAGGTGAAGTCCCTACCGTGAGTCTGGTGAAGGGGCAGGCTACATCAGAAACTGCATCAGTTTCTGTAATGGTGTGATTGTACCTCTCACATGTTGACTCAGGGGTTGCAAAAGAGAATATTCCAAGAATAAGGAAGTAGAGATGCTAATATTTTAGGGCTTGGGCTAGGAAACTAGCACAGCATCAATTCCACCATATTTATTATTAGTAAAAGAGCCTACTCAGTTTCAAAGGAAATGGATGTAGATTTCACCTACTGATGGGAGTGTTATGGCCATTTTTAATCCACAAAGTATGTACTGCGGAAAAAATAATTTTTCTAGAATTTGGCATAATATAAATTCATTTGGGATACTCTATCTCAGTGTATGTGTAATGATAAGAATTATGAAAATAACTTTAATTGTAATTTATCTTACCCTTATGCCTATTTATTTATATCCTGCCAACTACTATGAAGGATTTGAAGTGATTTCCTAGATACAGTATTGTTTATGGACATGGTACTACTTACTTTGTGTACTTCTAAGAACGATACTAACTTGAGGTTCTAGAATATTTTACTTCTGTATTTTTAAGAAACTTTTTGTTTAGTATCCATTTTGTTTTCAGATGAGAGAGTGACATTACAACTGAGATGAGCCAGTATATTCTTAATAGATTGCTTATATGGCTTTAAGCTAACTGACTAAAATAAATTGTTTCTGGAGTACTTTTCTCCTGATTAATACTATTTTTCTAATAATGAGCTCATTTGTTTTGGCTCTATGCTGAAGTTTCTATTGACTCTTTTTACTCTGTGACAGTATATTTTATATTTTTGCATGGAAAAATAATGTATTTTTGCTTGAAAGAGATAGCAGTGTTTTTTGCAAATTATTGTTTTCTAGCAATTAGCTTCTTAGGTAGTCAACATTGTTAGATAATGGCAGTAATAATAACTAAGGATTATGAAGTGTTTCACGGATTTGTTACTATTATTATTTGATACTTATAACCCTGTATGATATTGATGACATCACAAACTAGAAAATCTTCCTCTCCAGGGAAATCTTTTTGCATTCTTCCCTTTCCTTTTATGTTCATATAATTTATTTCCCTGAGGCTTAAAAAAATTTTTTTTTGTGGTGTTAATACGCTTAACTTTCTTGTCTAGTTGGTAATGCTTTTGTCCTATAATGGGGAAATATGTATATGTGTGTTTCTCTACTGTGATTTTTGGCCAAAAAGCATTTAAGTCAATTAACCAGGAGTAAAAAAAGAGAAAGCAAGCTTACTTAAATCATAAGGAGGTGAGAAACTAAAGGGAAAATAAGGTTAAGGGTATTAATTAGGCTTAGATAGAATATGCTGTCATAAAACTCCGTTTTCTGTGAGTAGAATGTGAATTTGACTCCAAAACTGAGGACAGCAGCATATTACATAGAATAATGATGTCTTCCCTAGCAACTTTCATTAGTTCTTTTTTTTTTTTTCCTTTTTCTTTTTTGAGACGGAGTCTCACTCTGTCACCCAGGCTAGAGTGCAGTGGCCAGGTCTCAGCTCACTGCAACCTTTACCTCCTGGATTCCAGTGATTTTCCTGCTTCAGCCTCCCAAATAGCTGGCATTAAAGGTGCAGGCTACCATGCCTGGCTACTTTTTGTATTTTTAGTGGAGACGGGGTTTCACCATGTTTGTCAGGCTAGTCTTGAACTCCTGACCTCATGATCCGCCTGCCTTGGCCTCCCAAGTGCTGGGATTATAGGCATGAACCACTGCACCTGGCCTTCATTAATTATTTCTTGAAACTATTAAGTGCCAGGTATGGCTTTAACAGTGAAATGACATGTTGTGTTTTATGTCTTTGTAGATGTTTGGTGAGAAATTAAAAACATTAAAGAAGAATTAGTAAATTGATGTTACTAATTATTAGCATATAATTACTAATTATAATTGTTTTATTGAAAGATTCTTCCCTTTATTGTATACAAAGAGTTACATGCTCTTTCTTGAGTAATGCTTCTCTTCTATATAATTAATTGAATGAATTCCAAATATAGAATTTTGATAGAAAATATGCTTTTAACATTTTATGTTCTATCTAATAAAAAAGGTTTTTAGATTTATTTTGAGGTTAGCCAGCTTTGCATAACAATTATTCTTGCATATTCTTTTTTTTTTTTTTTTTTTTTGAGATGGGTTCTCGCTCTGTGCCCAGGCTGGATTGCAGTGGTACGATCTTGGCTCACTACAACCTCTGCTTCCCGGGTTCAAGCAATTCTCTGCCTCAGTCTTCTGAGTAGCTGGGATTACAGGTGCCTGCCACCACGCCTGGTTAATTTTTTGCATTTTTAGTAGAGACAGGGTTTCACCTTCTTGGTCAGGCTGGTCTTGAACTCCTGACCTCGTGATTCACCTGCCTCAGACTCCCAGAGGGTTGGGATTACTGGTGTGAGCCACGTGCCTGACTCTATATTCTTTTAGTCCTAAAAGTACTGTTTTGCTACCTCATTGAGCTGCTGTTGGCATGAAGCTCCCCTTTGATTCAGTGAGGCATGAAGCAAGATGTAAAACTACCTTTGTTGTACATTGTGTATAATCTGGAGTTAATATTGATTTTTGTGGGTTCTTTTTCCCACTTCCTGTTTTCTTCACCTGCAAGTCATTACTGCACATACTTCCCTCACTGTTTAGATCATATAATATAGTAGTTAAATAATTCTTAGTAATTTACTGTATTCATTAGTGCAATTAATTACAACATATTGGTTTAGAATACGCAGTTGGAATTTCTGGTTTTCATTTTAAAACTTATTTTTAAAGATTTTGTTATGTTTATTTTTCAGTCTTTATAAAATTTTTGTTAATGTTAAAATGCTTTAAATCTTTATGACTAATAAATTCATTAAATTTCTTTTTATCTTCTTGAATCCTTATTAACAAAGTAATAAGAAATTTCTTTTTCTGTATATGTTCATGTATGAGATTTTGTTTAAAAAACCATAGCATTAGCATTTGTAAATATGTCTAGAAGCTTAAATCTTAAAATTATTCTCTGGACCTAATTTACACGAGTACTACTTATTAGAATTTTTTTCCTCCTATTTTGGGGTTTGCTCTTCATGCCAAAAGTCACTTTTTAACCTTTTAAGAAGCATTCGCATTACATTATACTGTATGTGACGGGATTTTAATGTTATGGTCTTAATGTTTATGGCTTAGCATTTGCCATAATGTTGGCTAAATGGTCCATTTATTTAATCCTAACTGTAAATTTAATTTTAAAAAACAGTTTGAAAAAAGATTTTTAAACAGGTCCTGACTTATTAAATCTTTTCATATTCCTGTTAGAAAATTCGCCTCAGTTTATGTCTTAAATTTTGTATGGGGTAATGTTGTCAAACGCAGTAGGTGATTTTTATTAGAAATATTGTTTGCCAGATGGCTTGCTTAAAGTCAGTTAAAATAATCTTTTAAAAATGGTCATTATAAAGCTTTTAATGAGTATTACAGGCATTTCTTATTAAAATTTTCTTAAATATTAAACAGTGTGCCTTCAGGCAATTAATATAGGTTAGGGAACCTTTTAAGGTAAAATGTAATGCAAGGAATGAAATAACATGAAAGGCTAAATCTGCATGTTAGGTATTCCCCACAGCATGCATGTTTCACATAGTTTATTTTACTCTATTAATATTTTTTGTTGTTAGAGCTCCTGGTTAATTCTAGTTTAACATTTAGTAAGGCTTCCAGACTTCAAAATTTGAGTGCTAAAATGGTTTGAACTAAATTCTATGCTTCAGTATCAAAACTCATTTTAGGGCCTTAGAATGTTTTTATTAGATTTCAGCCGTTTACCAAGACACTTTAACATTCAGTTTCCTTTATTTGAATGTGAAGCCAGGATTAAAACAATCTAAACTCTTCACTGGCAACTTTTAAAATTTTTTTTGAAGTTAATACATTGTCTTGTTTTTATATAAGAAATTTTGCTTTTTAAAGTAAATACCAGTTAAGGAAGAGCACTTGAATTCATTTAGAGTATAAATTGGAAAGCAATACTTTTAACTTTTTAGCCAAGTGAATTTATTTTTCTTCTGTTAGTTTCTACATGTGAAAAGATATAATACCTTTTAAAAGATATTTTTGGCCACAGCCCATTAAAATGTTCTTTAATTTTATAATTTATTATAAAATTTTTAATGTAAATCTAGAATAGCTGCAAGGAATCATAGCAATACAGTTACTCATGCATTATTAATGCTTTGCTATAGAGTATAAAAGGTATTCTAGCATATTTTCCTCATACTATATTTCATAACTTTTTCTTCATTATTGCTAAAGCCAGGTCTTAATGATTTTGCTACTTAATAAGATTACATCTTATACATAAATAAAATTTGTGTTCTTCCATTTACTGTTAAAAGTTTTAATCTTTGTAATATTGCTCTTGCAAAACACTTCTATTATAAAATCTTGATTTACAACTTGATTCTGGGACAATTCTATTGAAATTAAGTTGCCTGTTTGAGTTATTTCTATACTGTAACCTTAAAACAGTTCCTGTAAGTATATTAATTAACCACATTCATGCCTAAAACATTAATTAGGTATATTTGGAAAGAAAATTAAAATCTGCTGTGTGTTACTTCGTGCTATGAAATGTTAAAAATAGAGTTTCTTCAGGATCAAATTCTGTGTATTCACTATTTTAACACATTTTTAACACTCTTTGAACAATATGTTTGTTTTGGCACATAATCCTGGTATAGGAGTTAAAAATGTATTTGTACCTTCATCTTTGTTTATAGATACAGAACGTTCTCAATCTGTGTGTGTGTATGTGTGTGTGTGTGTGTGTGTGTGTGTGTGTGTGTGTTTGTATGTGTGTGTATGAGAGAGAGAGAGAGAGAGAGAGAGAGAGAGAGAACAAAGAGAGAGAGATCTCTTCTCCCTCCTGACATCCCTCTGCATATGTTTTTCGGTTCTTATTTCTGACAACTCAGAAAGGAAAATGTCTGGATATCATTTAGTTTAGACCTTAGCTCCACAGCACTTTAAACACGTAAGAGGACTTCTTGTTAAACAGAATAAAAGTCTACATATAAAAATTAGTAATTTGCTTATGGTATTAAAATGTGTCTCTGTGTGGATTTGTTTAAATAGTGGCCCTGATTTAGAATTAATATATTAAAATGTTTAACTATCATTTTGTTACTTAATTTAAAAAACATAGATTTAAATTTTAAAAGTAAGTTAGTAAAGGGGAAAATAAATATACTTTTGGTTGTACTTACAATAGTTTCATTGTACAAAACAGAACAAGGATCATTTCCAAATGTTCTCGGGTGAAATCTAACGGGAAACAATTTTAAACTGGTCTAAATTTGTTGGTAAAAATAATGTGTCTTAGATAAACATCTGATCTAAGTTATAGTACTTTGTACTACTCTTTTTCTGATTAGCTTATTTTTTTGTTTTAATAAATGTGATTGGCTTGCTAGTTGAAATAGGAACTTTTAATGTGAATTTTATAAAAATACTTGTTTGCAGGTTATTTTGATTTATGAGTCTATAACAGCCTTTTCTTATTATGGAATGTTAATATTTTTTTGTAAAACATTCTCCATAATGTGAATATTTGGTTTGACATGAAATGCTTATGGAGAAGACACAATTTAAAAGAAAAGTCTTGTTGCTTTTTAGTTGTCCCTTTTTACATTTCACATTGAACTTGAACCATTCTTACAGGAGAATTCTGATCTTCCTGTTGCTCTGCTTTTGGCTCAGCATAAAGACAGATCTACCCAAGTAGAAATGCAACTTGAGAAACCCAAACCTATAAAACCAGTGACGTTTTCCACAGGCATCAAAATGGTGAGCCTTGTTTTAATTGCTTGTTTGAAAGATCTTTTTTCCAGGATTATGCTTTATAGTTACACAATTTCTATAGTAAACAGAAATGTTCAGATGTTTAAGAACAGTGTCTGATCTAGTTTTAGATGTCTGGAAATATGGATAGGTACAGTATGAGGAAAGTGAAACAAATAATTTTCAAGGTATACAACACAATTTCTTTGTGTGTGAATTAGGTTTGTATGATTTTCTTACTCTACTTGCATTTTTAAGCTTATAGTATAGAAAAGCATTTTAAAAAATTATAAATATTGTTAGGAGATAATTACCATCTGTAAATATGAAATGGAAAAGCAAGTGTATCAATTAATGTTTTCTTTTAAACAGTCTTCTTCACATTTATATTTTTTAAAGATCTGAAAGCCATTTTTAGTTTCTCAACTGATGAATAGATTAATTTGGGTTCTAAAAACTTTATTTTATATTGTATTGTTATATATTATTGTTTATTTTGACATTCAGGAGAAAGATTCTATAAACCAGTGATAGTTTTTGATACTTTTACATTTTTTTTGTTTAGAAAATGTTTATTTTGGCATATTAATTTTAACATGTGTTTAACATTTAGGTGTTTGAGATGTAGTCACTGTAAAAATGTAACATTCAAATTCCTAATTATCTTTTAAAATAGTCTTATTAGAGTGACATAAAAAATGTGGTTAGGAAAGTTAAATGTTTGAGGTTATGGATATCTCAATTACTCTGATTCAATTATTACATATTGTATGCATACAGGTATTAAAATATCAAAAGTACCCACACAATATATACAACTATGTCGATTAAAAACTGATTTTAAAAAAGTGTGGCAGCACTATAAAGTCATGGTCATGGATTTGGAGTTTGGATCCAAACAGACCTGAGTTCAACCCTCAACAAAATTATTTGCCTTTCTAATAAGCCTTTTTTTCCCTCATCTGTAAAATTGTTATGATAATACTGATCTCATAAACTTGTTGAGAAATAATGTGAACAAAGTACACAGTATAGTACTTGGCTCATAGTAAACTCTCAATAATTGAGGTTAGTTGTTATTGCTAATAACAAGTTGATAATGCAGATGACTATACTAATTTATTCCTTAAATCTTTACATATCTTTTCCATACATAAAATTCATTTTATACATAGTTTTAAAATTCAGGATGATAGAGTCTGCAGAATTTTTGTTTGTTTTTTATCATTGTATGGCTTCATTTCAAAGTTAGTGGTAATCACATGCAATAGTGAAGTGATGGCAATTTACTGGTGTTTTACCAGTAAACTCATTAATTTTCAGGAATGAAGTCTAGTATTCAGAGGGCACAATGTAGCTACAAACCTTGGGAATGTATCCCCTATTGTAAATTGAGCATGATGAGTATGCGAGAATGAATGTCTCAAAACATTAACAAAGTATTTTTAAAATTAGATGTAATACTCTAATTTTAAAGAGGCAAAGGACTATTTCTTTCCTTTGACCCCAGTGGATAAAGTTATATTTACTCTAATTTTACTGTTGCTTCAGCTTTAGCAAATGTGTATCAGCTGCTCCTGTTTTCTAGTTATCTTCCTTTTATGGTATATATAATATTAAAATAAAATCTGGTGTACAGTCTAAGTAGAAGATACAGGAACTCCTCCCAAGTCTTTTGCAACCGTTTTTCTTTTTTTTTTTTTTTTTTTTTTTTTTTTTTTTTTCAGTTGCTGACTATAAAATTTGAAGATCTAGATACTTTTGTATTAAGTTGACTTTATTTCTAAAATTTATCTTGAATTTACCCACTTCTTTCCATCTCTGTCACCCTAGGATAGTTGCCATCATTTCTTTACTGGACTATTGCAGTAACATTCCACCTGTTCTCTCTATTTATCTGTGTACCCCATAATCTAGTCTATAAGCCTTTTGGGTGGTTTCCTAGATAGATGAATGATAGTAAATAAACAATATTAAAAAGATCAGATCATCACCTACTTGCTTAATATTTCCTATGTCTTCCCAGTACACTTGCAATAAAATTCAGAATATTAACCATCTACTTTCTCACCTCTGAGAAAATGACGTTTGTACTAAGAAGTCAGTGGTAAAATGGAGTTAGCCATGCAAAAATGCAGGCAAAGAGCAGTAAAGAAGCCCTAAGGTAAGAAATAGCATTTTCTAGAAATGGACAAATGATACTGTTAAGAGAAGGCTTTCCCTACTCTCCCTTGCTCCTTACACTTAATTCACACTGACCTTTTGACTATTCTATCTAAAGTATCTTTCTCCTGCCCCCACCCCCATATGTTATGCTGTTTAAAAGGTTAATATAGAGACAGGGTCTCACTATGTTAGCCCAGGCTAGTCTCAAACTCCTGAGCTCAAGTGAGCCTCCTGTCTTGGTCTCCCAAAGGGCTAGGATTATAGGTGTGAGCTATTGCGCCTGGCCTAGGTTATGCTTTTTAACACTTTATAACATATATCACTAGCAGAAAGTGTCTTATGGGCACATTGTTTAATGTTTATCTTTACCACTAGAATTTAAATTCTGTATACCTAGAATGACGTTCTTCTCAAGTACACTGAGGACCTTCATTAAATGTTTTTGGATGGATGACCGAATCTTACATATTAGGTTCACATTTAATAGAATGAAGATCCTGAAGCACTTTCAAGTTTCTGTGACTTTATGGCATTTACTGTTTGGAATATGTTTAACTGCTTATGGAAACTATACTTATAATTTAAGGCATCGATCAAGTGTGGTTTTCATAAATCCTCTTTTGTGTGGAATGTAATTACATATTCTGATGCCTTCCCTAACATTTCATATGTACTTTTATTATATATTGTAGCTCCTGCCTTGTATTGCAATTTGCTATTTTCCATGCCGGTGTCATTTTAGATGAGCTTTCTGGAGAACAGAATGTGTTCTGTGACATAACTTTATGTGTTCTTATGGGTACAGTAAACATTGTACTGTGTAATTATTCAAAAAAAATTTTAGAGTAAATTATTCTCAATTTTTCTTAAATTCATAACATTCTGCTATGCTATTGGGAGACTCACCTTTGGGTCAAGAAGAATTTGATGCCGTGTACAGCCAAAAAAAAATGTTTTTATAGATATATCTAAATTTCTATCACTTCACCACATTTTTACATTCCCTTACCAATAAGAATTACAGATTATGTATTCCTTCTCTTCTGTGTTCTTTTTATTTTACCAGTGGTACATTTTGAAATTTATATAACCTAGATAAACCTCTTAGGTAGTTCAGTGCTTTTCTTTGGCCCAAAGAGAGGAAGCATCAGCTCTACATTCTTTTTTCAACTTGACAGAATAGTTATTGGTGGTCTTTCTGTGCTTCATAATGTGCTGTTTATTTAAAAATGGAATGAGTTGGACAGGCCAGATGTAAATGCTTTTGAAGATCACTGATTAATAGACCTGCTAACCTGAACATGATATGAACAAAATACTCTGAAAATTTATTTCCTTGAGGAGATTAGGAAATATATTCATTGTGACAAAGTTGCTTCAGCAGCATACTTTCAAAATTATTTATTTATTTTTAATTTATTTTTAAAGACAGGATCTTGTTCTGTCACCTTACACTGGAGTGCAGTGGCACAATCCTAGCTCACCGTAGCCTTGAACTTCTGGGCTCAAGCCATCCTTCTATCTCAGCTTCCCAAGTAATTGGGTTTACAGGCTTATGCCACTACACTGGGCTAATTTTTAAGAAAAACTTCTTTTTGTTTGTTTTGTTTTTTTGTAGAGACAGGGTCTAGCTATGTTGGCCAGGCTGGTCTTGAATTCCTGGTCCGAAGCAATCTTGGGACACTTCAGCCTTCCAAAGTACTCAGATAATAAGTGTGAGCCACTGTGCTCAGGCAGGAGGATACTTTACTTATTATTTTTGTTTTCGAAGTGGAGTCTTGCTCTGTTGACCAGGCTGGAGTACAATGACACAATCTGGACTCACTGCAACCTCTGCCTCCTGGGCTCAAGCGATTCTCCCACCTCATCCTCCCTAGTAGCTGGGATTGCAGGCATGTGTGACCACACCCGGCTATTTTTTGTAATTTTGGTAGTGATGGGGTTTCACCATGTTGCCCAGGTTGGTCTGGAACTCCTGAGCTCAAGCAATCTGCCTGCCTCAGCTTCCCAAAGAGTTGGGATTACATTGCACCTGGCTGAGGAGCACACTTTAAATGATGAAAGAAGTTTCAATCTCAGCTCATCTTGAAGCAAATTTAATAAACCTCTCTCTAGTCTGCCTTTTAAAGTATTAGATGAACAGATGGGTCTTATACCGTGGCTTTAAGGTCAACAACCTTGAAGAGTGACGAAGGGATCAAATTCTAAAACTGAAAACTCACCACTTCAAGTGCCCACTTTTTAGCTGTCCCTGAATTCTTTGAGAGCTTGTTAGCAAAAGTGCTCTCTGTTTAAATGATTACTTTTGGGTGGGGATTGGGAAGGGGAATGTTTTGCATAGATTTTCTTTTTGCCTGAAGCTGTATCTTACTCTGAATAATTTATTTGTTTTTAATAATGTTTAACATTCTGCAGCAAGGCATATAGATTTGGACAGGAAAAAAATTTCTATCTTTAATTGCTTTTATATCCTTCTGAATGTTTTTCTCTGAGTGGTATTTAAGACTTCTATTACGTTTGATTTTCTTTCTTGCATCATTACCTTTTATATCTAATAAATCACTGTACTTGTAGGCTGGGCATGGTGGCTCACGCCTATAATCCCTGCACTTTGGGAGGCCAAGGTGGGTGGATCTCCTGAGGTCAGGAGTTTGAGACCAGCTTTGCCAGCCTGGCGAAACCCCATTTCTATTTAAAATATGAAAATTAGCCAGGCATGGTGGTGGGCACCTGTAATCCCAGCTACTTGGGAGGCTGAGGAAGGAGAATCGCTTGAACCCAGGAGGCAGAGGTTGCAGTGAACTGAGATTGTGCCATTGCACTCCAGCCTGGCTGACAGA